GTATAGGAGCTTGCTTCCCACTGAGATAGACCTGGGCTTCAGGAGGTGGGGACTCGATCTGGGCAGCCCTAGCTTTCCACACTTTACCATCACCCACCCACACATAAGCACTGGCCACACTCGGGATCACTGAGGAGAGACCTCCCCTGCCACAGATGTGAGTGCTCCAGGGGGCTGCAGCACAGACCTGGGATCGCCTCTGCTGTGCTGTGTAGAAGAGGAGGGAAGGCCATGCTGGACCTCACCTGTTAGGCCGATTTGGGGATGGAGAGACCTTCTTGGGCTGATAGCTACAGCTCGGGATGTTGGGGTATTAGGAATAAAGACACCAACTCAAAAGGAACAGAGCCAGGCAGTTTATTTCTGCAGAAGGTCACACCATCAGCCAGAAATCTGGCAAGCAGGCACACAGAGCTGGCACGTTGCTCCCCTTTTGTCCCCAGTGCAGCAGGCCCCACCCCGCTGTGATTGGTTAGTTTGAAGAGGTTAGGCTGTATCCAGTGTACAGTTTTACACAAGCTAGTTATAAAGCGACCATTAGAAGACTTTGGGATAAGATTGAAGGTACACAAGCAATCTCAAAACATATACAGCTCTGCTACTTGAGCAATCTAAGGTGTGTCTTAATCCCTCTTCAAAACATACTCACACCCTCAACTACTTTCTTGAACAGTGAGGTGTGTCTTAATTCTGCTTCCAATTTGGAACAGCCAGTTAAGACAACACCTTACATTTCAAAAATCCTTCCTTATCCCAAAGCATTTCCTAGCTAATATTGTCTTAGCAGAATATAGCTAGAGCAGAGCTACAGGGCCAGAGCTGGAACTTTTAAGCTGACCACTTTGATAGACGAGGCCAGATAGGTGGTCTCAGAGATAGGGGGGCTGAGTTGGCCTGCCATGGTGCTGCGGGCAGTCCTCAGCAGTGAGTTCAAAACACTTACAGCCTGTGAGTTTGCTGCCTCTTAGGAGACTAGAAGGCAATAGTGTCTTATAGCCTGTGAGTTTGCTGCCTCTTAGGAAGACTAGAAGGCAATAGTGTCTTGTAGTCTGTCCTCCGAGGCCAATTCTCAATCCCAAAGCCTTCCTGGCAACTTAGAAAAACATCTGTCCACCCAGGAGATGAGATACACCCCTGGCGGGGAAATAGTTAATTTAATTAGGCTACTCTGCTTGCTTGTCCCTCAGGGAGGACTAGCATTAGCAAGCCTTATTTGTGCCTGTGTTCCAACATAGTGATAATCTCTTAGTTTGTATCTTCTTGTTCTGCGCCTTCTTGGCCCTTCTTTTACAAAGTAATTGTAGCCTCTTATTCCAGGCTTTGAGCCTCCAAAAGACAAAGCTTTTGAGTCTAGAGTCTGAATGGCTGAGAGCAAGTCTGAGAACTCTTTTATCTCAGGAATGGTTGGGGACCTGCCTAGGTAAGGAAGTAGAGAGGAGACTTGTTTCTTTTCTTTTTTCCTTTTTCTTATTGTCAGTTCTGGGGCTTGAACTCAGGGCCTGGGCACGGTCCCTGAGAGTCTTTTGCTCAAGGGCTAGCACTCTACCATTTGAGCTACAACCACTTCCAACTTTTTCTGTTTATGTTGTACCAAGGAATCAAACCCTGGGCTTCATGGATTGCTAGGTAAGCACTCTACCACTAAGCCACATTCCCAGCCCCAGACCAGGATTTGAACCAGTGTTTGATTTCACAGCTCAGGGTGCTGTCTCTGAGCTTTTGTGCTCAAGGCTAGCTCTCTGCCACTTGAACCACTTCCAGCTTTTTATGTTCATTGGAAATAAGAATCTCACAGACTTTCCTGCCTGGGCTGGCTTCAGTCCTCAGAACTCATCATCTTGAGTAGCTAGAATTACAGGTGTGAGCCATAGTACCCCACCTCAACTTTATTTATTTATTTATTTGTCGGTCATGGGGCTTGAACTCTGGGCTTGGGCGCCGTCCCTCAGCTCTTCAGCTCAAGGCGAGCGTTCTACGGCTTGAGCCACAGTGCCACTTTAGGTTTTCTAGTGGTTTATTGTAGATAAGAGTCTCACAGACTTTCCTGCCCAGGCTGGCTTTGAACTGTGATCCTCAGATCTCAGGCTCCTGAGTAGCTGGGATGACAGGCATGAGCCACCCATGCCGGGCCTCAACTTTTTAGAGAGTGAATTTTTAGAGAGTGAAGTTTCGGGCCTGGGAAAATGGAAAGAACAGGTTGTAGACAGAGCCCCCTGCTGGCCAGTGGGCACTGTGGCGCCCATCATGCTGGAAAGTGAGCTGTTGGGTTGTGGGGGGAGGGGACTCTTCCCAGCTGTGATTTCACCAACATTACTCATCTGTTTTTGATTCTTATCTCTGCAGTGACGGGCTTTTGGCCAACAGGCAGATCAAAAGGTGGAGTGTGTTCATTTGGCCATTTTCAAAAAAAGCTTAAATATAAGGGTGCACTTCTTCAAGGCACTGTGGTTAGATTATCTGCGGTGCTGAACGGGTCTGGCTTTTGTGCTTTTTCTAAAGGGTTCATCTCAAGTTTCTTTTTCTGGTTGAACAATTTTTTTCAACATTAATAACTAATGGAGAAGAGGAAGAGGCAAAGTAGAACCATATGGCGGCCCGAACACAAACCTCACTGTGGCCGGAAACTTCTGATTTGTATCTCCTTTCATGTGATCAGCTGTGGGGTTAGGGAGTAGGGAAGGATTTGCTGTGGGCAAAAGCAAGACCTCGCAATACTTTCTGTCTCTTGTGCCCGTCCTCAGATGCTGGCTTTGGGCAGCTCATTGCTTCTCTCCTCCAAAACAACTCTGTGTGTCGAGCTGCCTCAGCATCAGAGGCGAAGTCGGCAGTCGTGAGCGGTGCTTGGCCCTCGTCCACGGTTACGGCTGCTCTGAGATGGAGCCTCCCTGTGTCACGTAGGCTGGTCTTGGGCTTAAGTGATCCTCCTCCCTCAGCCCTTTATGTAGCAGGGATTGTTAGGACAGTGCCACTGCTGCCCAGCTAACGCAGTGTCACTTTGTTTCTCTAGTTCTAGGGATTGAATCCATGCCAGGCAAGTGGCGGAACTACCACTGAAACCATGCCCCTCATCATTTTTAAAAATTTTGTTTTTGAGATAGGGTCGCACTAGCCTTCCCTTGGCTAGCCTTGAACTTGTCCATCCTCCCGCTTCTGCTTCCAGAGTAGCTGGGATTATAGGTGGGCACTTCATGCCTGCAATGTGCTTGGCCTGGGGCCTCCCGCATGCTAGACCAGCACTCTGTGCTAGCTGCATCCCCAGTCCCATCATTGTTAGAAGGGCATTGTTAGAAGGGCATCTAGTCCTTGACCTTCTTCCTCTGGTTTGTGTGTCTCCTGGTCTTAATGTATTTTACTCCCCTTCCACCTATCTGTCCAGTGGCCCCCTGGGCACCTGTAAGCCAGCTTGAAGGTGTCAGAGGGAAGACCACAGCAATTCCTACTCTCTAGAAGGTAAGCCATGCTCCTTGGTGGCAGAGAAGTCAGTGTAGCCCTGAACCTCCCAGAGGCACTGTCCTGGCCAGCACAATGTTAGTTATTCTAATTCACTAGGATTTAAGTTTGACCCTGCCCCCACCCAGCAGCCTGGATCAGCCTTTGGTGGCGTCTGCTGCTCCTCGCCTGAGCGGTCTTAGGGGCCACACTGCCTATAACCCAGAGTAGGCTCGGCTTTGTTTGGCACTATCTTTGCAGTTAAATCACTGTGCAAGCTCATCATCTACGAGACTTACTGTGAATTCTTCTGTTGGTTTTATTTTGTTTTGCAATACTAGGCTTTGAACTCAGGACTCGTTAGGCAGGCACTCTACCACCTTCTGTTCTTCTTCTTTTTTTGCTTCTGTTGAATCTAATAGTGTCTTGTATCTTTCTCCTGGGCTGGCCTAGACTGTGCTCCTCCTAGTTACACTTCCTGCACAGCTGGGAATCATAAGCATGCTTCATTGGTTGAGAATAGGGTCTTGAAAACTTTTTGCATAGGCTGACCTCAAATTACTGTCCTCTGATGTCCACCTCCTTTGTAGCAAGTATTAGAAGGATGAGCTACCTGGCCTTCTTTCATTGTTCTCACAGTGATGTGGCCAGAACACAGGGTGAACTAGAAAAGAGCCAAGTCATTGTCATCTTTGCCATTCAATTTACTTTTCCCATTGGGAAGGATGCTTGGTGCAGTCAGCAGCCCCTTGCCAGGCAAATGAGATGTTGAGACCCCCACAAACCAGGCCACAAGGCAAGAAAGAGCCAGCACATGCATAGACTTGGAAATGACTGAAGCCCAAAGGAATCTGTTGTTGAGAGGACTGCTGTCCCTTTCTGGAATCTTTTGGTGGAAATGTGATGTTTTGAGTTTGGAGCAGGATGCTTCAGCCTGCTCATTTGGGGACCGTGGTTGGAACTGGCAGTGTATGGTGTGGGGTTCAGCCTGCCCCGCCCCCTCCTCCCCCCCACTCCTCAGCAGGACTGCAGAGGTGAGCCAGCCCAGGTCTGCTGTGGAGAGCTGGTGAGCAGCTACCTTTGCAGCTGCTATGGCTGACTCTACAAGCCAGCCTGGTCATGCTTGGCCAGAGGCCTGGAAAGTGCTGGAAACTCCACCCAGCATGGGAGCCTGTGGGAGTTCTCTTGCATGGATGGCTTATTCTTTCGAGTTCTTTGAATTCCTATGTATTTGAAATGTTTGCCTTCTTCTCGGGACTTGAGCTTGTCCTCTGCCCACTGGAGACCAATCGCAGGCACATATATATTCAGGTTTATGAGACCACCCTGGCGGCCAGGTGAGAGCTGCACTGGAGATCACGCTCTGCCGTAACCTAAGACCAGGTTTCTTTATAGAGCGACACACGGTGTGTTGGGCACATGTGGGGGAGGGGGAAGAGGAACAAGCCCATAATTTTGGCAGGGCACCAAGGGCCAGATGTTAGATATACTGCCCGCCGTTCAGATGACTGAGCCTGAATCCGAGGTGTTATTTTAACCACATTTCTACCTGTTCTTTTTTTTCCTGGCAGGTCCCCAGTCTGTGTGAAGATCTCCTGTCTTCTGTTGACCAGCCACTGAAAATTGCCAGAGACAAGGTGGTGGGCAAGGATTACCTGTTGTGTGACTACAACAGAGATGGGGACTCGTATAGGTGAGCTCATGCCCAGGAGGCCCCTGCCAGCCATTCCCGCTGGCCACAGCAGCACAGAGACCAACCCACGCTCTACTCACCCATCTTTCTGTTTGTCCTTCCATCCTCTTCCTCCTCTTCTGCTAGTCATCCAGCTGGCCTGCAGGTGTTTGGGGAGTGCTTCCCTTAGCACTGGTGATGGAGTCCTCGTGGCTCTTAAGTCTAACGGAGAGGGAGGGATGCTGGTAGCAGACGGCCTGCTCCTTTGCCACATGTATGGTCCTGCAACGGGCAAAGCACAGCCTGTGCCTATGGAGGAGATTCTGCATCCACCCAGTTCTGTCAGCCTCTGTGCACCTCTCCCATCTTGTCGTCACCAAGTGGAGCACTAGTTGACATTAGTCTTTGCCTGGGTGATGACCTAGCTATGAGATCCATGCTCCGCTGGCTCAGGGCTTGCAGGTGGGGTAGCATAGTTGCAAGTGGTGGTCGGTGGTATCAGGGTAATTCCTGAAAGTGATACCTGAGCTAGGAAGTTTGCTGGTCAGTAACATATTGCTGACAGCAGCCAATCATTTCACAGAATGCCCAGTAGCATCTTGTTTACAGCATGTGCTGTAAACTGGGCACTGTTCAGATTCCTTTTCTAATGTTAGTCTGTAGTTTGATGCCTGGGGAGCAAGCCACCAGTAAGCACTTCCATAAATAAAATAGATTGTTTGTGAAAGAAGCTGAGGGTAGGCAGCAAGAGACAGTGTAAGTAGACCCAGAAGGCTCTCCTACAAGTGTCCTTAAGAATGCAAAAGTTGGGCTGGGAAGGTGGCTCAGTGGTAGAGCTCTTGCCTTGCATGCATGAGGCCCTGGGTTCGATTCCTCAGCACCACATAAGCAAAACGAAAAAAGCCAAAAGTGGTGCTGTGGCTCAAGTGGTAGAGTGCTAGCGTTGAGCTGAAGAACTGAGGGACAGCACCCAGGCCCAGAGTTCAGGCCTCACAACCGGACCCCAAAAAAAAAAAAAGAATGCAAAAGTTGAGTTCTATACATGTTAGAGGGACGAGTTTTCTGGGCTTCAGTTAAGACCCTAAAGTGGAAATGAGCTTGCTGGTGTTCAAATACATTAAGAGGATGAAGTCAGAAGCCTGGTAGGGAAAGCACATACAGCCTTGAATTCCAGGTGAAGGTTTACTGGAGTAAACTAAAGACACGACACATGGGGTGAACTGGAACTGGACAGCACAGTACGGGCCTCAACACATATTTAAAAGGTCTGTGATTCTGTGTGTGCGTGTGTGCGCACACACGCATGTGCGCACACTTGCTCTACCACTGGAGCTTAAACTTAGGACCTGGGTGCTACTCCTTAGCTGTTTTGCTCAAGCTGGTGCTCTACTTTTGGCTAACTGGAGATGAGTTTTATGGCCTGGGCTGGCTTTGGGCTGGGATCCTCAGATCTCAGCATCCTGAGTAGCTAGGATTATAGGCATGAGCCAACAGTGCCTAGCTTAGTGACTTCTTTTCTTTTGTTGTTGGTGGTGGTGGGCATGGGACTTGAACTCAGGACCTGGACGCTGTTCTGAGCCTCTTTGTGCTCAAGGCTAGCCGTGTACCCCTTGAGCTACAACACCACTTCCAGTTTTGAGTGGTTAACTGGAGGCAAGAGTCTCATGGACTGGCTTTGAACCACCATCCTCAGCTCTCAGCCTCCTGAGTAGCTAGTATTGTAAGCATGAGCCACCAGTGCCTGGCAAATAGTGATTTTTTTTTTTTGAGAGATGACAACATTGTTGTTTTAGAATGGTGTTTTTTCCTACTGTCAGTAAAAGTTAGGTAGGCAATCATAAAGCAGAGACTGGAGTAGAAATAGGGTGCATGCCAGAAGATGTGCCAAGGGTGGGGTGTGTGAGAGACAGATGTGATTGGTGATACAGGACTTTGGGACATTGATGGAGGGGAGAACTCAGGGAGCTGCTGGTTTAGGGAATCTTTTTTTTTTTTTTTTTTTGGATCTGGTTGTGGGGCCTGAACTCTGGGCCTGGGTGCTGTCCCTCAAAGGCTAGTGCTTTACCACTTGAGCCACAGCGCCACTTCTGGCTTTTTTCTTTTTGTTTATGTGGTGCTGAGGAATTGAACCCAGGGCCTCAGGCATGCAAGGTAAGCGCTCTACCACTGAGCCACCTTCCCAGCCCTGATTTAGGGAATCTTTAAGGTTAAAATGTCCTTTAGATTTTTGCAGAGGTGCCATCTGGTGATGCTACTTGGTAGGTCAAGTTGCCAGTGGGTATGGTCCTTGGGAGCCTCCCCGGAAGTGAGTACCTCAGCCGTCCTTGGAGGGGAATGGCCTTGCCAGACCTGGGGCCTGCAGAAAGTTTCCTGGGAGAGGTATCCTGAAACAGAGTCTCAGTCAGTCAGCATTATCCTCCCCTCCCCACTGAAAACTCCATTTAATCTAGCCATTCCACAGGAGCCTGTGGAAGAGTGGGGTTGTGCCCATGTCTGTATCCAGGCCTGTCTCCCTTGGGCCTCCAGCCAGGGTACCTGCACTCCTGAGGTGCCGGGGCCTCAGGGTCCTCTGGGAGCTTTGAAGAGAGGCGCATGAGCGTCAAGCAGAAAGCTTGTCTCTCCTCTCTCCTTGTGGATCTGAGACTTCAAGGTCTTCTGATTTTTCTCCACACATTTCCATCCTCTGTTTGATCGTTGGCTTAAATAAGATCCTTATGGTGTGATGGTTGCCAGCAGCACGGCTTGAGACCTGTTAGCTGAAACAAAAGGCCTTCTGGGGAAATGAAAGCCTGACTTTTGAAATCTAAACGTTCCTGTCCATCTGTCTTTTCTCAAATGGCCTCCATTTAAGCTCTTAAATGTGTTCTGAGTGCCCCTTCCACTAGGAATATTCTGGGTAATGTTATGATTTTTCCCCCAGCTACAATTACCCTGGCTCCAGGACTAGTGGCTTGAAATGCTGTCTGTCGCCTGTGAGCCAGGAGAAATGTGAGTTACAGGCTTCTTGGAAATTCCAGGCCTGCAAGAGGATGGGCTCTTGTGTCTCAGCAGGTGGTCTTTAAATAAGAGCCAGTTGGAGTGGGTCTTCCACCCAGGCCATGGAACTGTGGGACCCAGTGTGCCCAGGAATCTCAAAGAAAGCAGCTGTGGTGAGGCAGGAGTTTAAGGGGTACACTGTATCTGCACCTTGGCCCCTATTTACATGGGAATAGTGCCGACAGGTCTGCGCTCTTCAGCTGCACCCTGCATCCTTGTCAGGTCTGGTGACAGGTCTTGGCCCTAGGTAGGGCTTGAACTCGGGGCCTGGGCACTGTCCCTGACCTTCTTTTGCTCAGGGCTAGTGCTCTACCACTTGAGCCACAGTGTCACTTCCAGCTTCTTCTGAGTGGTTTATTGGAGATAAGAGTCTTATGGACTTTCCTGCCCAGACTGGCTTTCAGCTGCCATCCTCAGATCTCAGCCTCCTGAGTAGCTACAATTACAGGCCTGAGCCACCAGCATCTATCTGGCTTGATTTTTATTTTGTTTGTTTGTTTTTTTGTTTTTTTGGGTCTGGTCATGGGGCCTGAACTCTGGGCCTGGGCGCTGTCCTTCAGCTCTTCAGCTCAAGGCTAGCGCTCTACCACTTGCGCCACTTCCAGCTTTTTACTTTTTGCTTATGTGGTGCTGAGGAATCGAACCCAGGGCCTCTGGCATGCAAGGCAAGCGCTCTACCACTGAGCCACCTTTCCAGCCCCCTGATTTTTATTTTTTTAAACTGTATCTCACTATGTTGCCCAAGCTGGTTTCCAACTCTTGAGCTCAGGCAATCCTGCTACCCCTGGCTCAATTTTGACTTTTTTTTTTAGTGCTGTGTGTCCCTAAGCAGAAGAAATAGAATGGAATTCCATGTCTGTTAGTGTAGCGCACTCTGTAGGACCCTGTAGGCACCCTGTAGTGGGTGTCATAAAGGTAGACAGCAGTCCTCCCCTCACAGGCTGGGCAGGGTTGCATGTGAGGCGTGAATTCCACAGGGGGAGGAGGCAGCACTGGCCACTGCTGCTTTTGTGGGGGAGGTGCAAGGATTTCCGCTTTCTAGCCCTTCTTCTCTTAGTGCGCCTGGGTGGGGTCTCGTGTGAGAGTTCAGCGTTGACTGCCAAGAAACCAGCGGACAGCTTGGCTGGCCTTGGCTCTTTAGATCACAGTAGCCACGTTTCTTATACTTGGAGCCCACCTTTTTGCCAGATACAGAAGATTTCCATCCTCCTAGAAGTGTCTGGCTGGCTGCCTTTCCAGAGGATGGACACGGGAGCTTCCAGATGACAGGCACTCGTCCACCCCCTGCTTGGGCACAGCGCTGCCGCCCGCATCCACGCTCAGGTGCCCCAGTACAGTCTGTATTTCCCAGTGGGGCCGGGCCACTTGGCGACTTCCTTCTTATGCCTTCTTTATCCGCTCCAAGTCAGGAGGGAGAGGGCGGTCTTGGTCACTTCAGCACTGAACCCAGAACCTGCAGCTTTTGGTTTTTCACTGGTTGCCAGGCCATGGCGTAGTTGGTGGCCATCTGCCTTGTTTTGGTTTCGCACATGCTGTGGGCAGCAAATAGTGCCTCATTTTCTATACAAGGAAGTGAGGTTCAGCGCTAAGGTACTGTCTATATCACATAGCTGGTGAGCAGGACGGGAGCTGGAAAGTGGCTGCAAGTAGTGACTTTGCCCCTGAAACCCCACACAACTGGAGCCTAGATTCACCGCTCACAAGCAGTATCCTCCTGGTGATTCATGGGCTTCCTCCCTGCAGGTCACCGTGGAGTAACAAGTATGACCCTCCTCTGGAAGATGGAGCAATGCCATCTGCTCGGCTGAGAAAACTGGAGGTGGAAGCCAACAATGCCTTTGACCAGTACCGAGACCTGTGAGTTGCTTGCCCAGTACACCTCAGCGCCTGTGGGTTTGTGTCCTTTGACTCTGGGGCTGCCTCCATGATGGAATCTGAGCTGCCAGTGATAAGATGTGGGCCACTAGTTCCCCGTGTAGTCACAAGACAGATGTCACTGTGTCCCAGTCCATAAATGTAGAAGGTACTGTCAGCATAGCCGCTGTGAGGAAGACTGTGAGAAAGATTGTCTCACTTCCTCCCAAATGCAATAGCTACTTCAGTCCCTGTTTTCCAGGTAGAGACATTAAGGCACAGAAAGGTTAAGACAAGAGGCAGAACCAGGACTTGAATGCCCATCTGGCTCTCCTGGATCTCTGGGGTTTTACTGCACCTCATAGCCAACTTTGACTGGTGCTTAGGTCCGTACAGGTGGCTTGGTTGCCAGGTCAGGCCAAGTTGGTCTTCGCAGTGTGATAAGGCAGCCTTCTCCAAACTAGCACCTCTGAATCCTGAATTGACTGGGGCAAGGCACCAGCTCCTGCCATAAGAAAGTGTTTGAACGTCTGTTAAATGCTTTTCTGCCTCCTGTCACTATATCAGGAGAACGAGCAGTCACCTAACAAATCACTGTCTTGAGGAAAGGCTCCAGAGATATCCTCTGAAACATTTTTTTTTTTTTTTTGTCGGTTGTGGGGCTTGAACTCTGGGCTTGGGCACTGTCTCTGTACTCTTCTGCTCAAGGTGAGTGCTCTACCTCATGAGCCACAGTGCCACTTCCAGTTCTCTAGTGGTTTTTTTTTTTTTTTTTTTGCGGGGGGGTCCGGTCATGGGGCCTGAACTCTGGGCCTGGGGGCTGTCCCTCAGCTCTTCAGCTCAAGGCTAGTGCTCTACCACTTGAGCCACAGTGCCACTTCTGGCTTTT